TGAAGAAATACTCTGTAATTCCGATACAACTTTCTCGATAGCCACGCTAACGATAGTCTCATCGGCTGAAGCCGCCATGTTCTTTAGACTGAACTGTCGCGCTTCTCGTTGCGTCACACCTCAACCCGCCTCAAAGCCAACGCTGATTGGATGTTCGTTTGGTGAACGGCTCCAAATTTTCTTTAACAGAGAGTCTCCAGACTGATTAGCGAGTGAAATCTTGAAAGCTCGCGCGATCAGGATGGTCTCACGAGGCTAGGAGATTGACTGCTAATCTTTATTATTCTCCACAGTGCCTTCTCTCCAATTAAAAGAAGGCATATGTAAGGTTGTACTTGCTATAACTGTTGTGGTGGGCGCCCTTCATGTATTATGAGCTTGATCTAATTCAATGGGGGTAAAGGATGATGGGCCTTTATCAGAAACCAGAAGTTGATATGATTTGATACAATCAATTAACTTACGTCTAAACCTACTGCCTCATCTCACTGTCCGGGTGTTGTTATGGAAGTTTCACTCTTGGGAGCTGTGACTGGAGCACATGTATCGTCCTTTGGCTCATCTGCTAGAATTTCCCATAGAAAAGTAGACTCCAGTTTCTTCTCACCATCTATGGATTCTACTCTTAACTCATATTCCCTTTTCTATTTGGAAAATTATTATAACTGATTCCACAATCACACCACAATTCGCCTTTATAAACGCCAGTCTACAGTTTATACCTGTTTGATCTTGTATCTTTTTATCTGCAAATGTAAAGGAATTACACATCTGACGTTGATAAGCAACGACGTTCTAAATCACCTTGTCCTTGTCACAAAGACAGTACCTATCTGTTCGACCACTGCAAATCCTGCATGGTTACCCAGTTGGTCTCTAAAACATGATTCATGAACAACTAAGTGACTCCCACATCCAATAATGGATATGACACCAAGAATGGTCTCAATCAGGTGTACTTCATGGTTTCTGCCACACACTGATGAGGTTCTTCCTAGCATGCGAGAATAATCGTGTTTGCAGGTTTGGAAGCGTTGCATTTTTAGACTTAGACTTTAGACTTAAACAATGTTTATTGTTATTTTGTATACATAGTGTGGACACAAAAAGAAATTTCATTTAGTACAGCTTTTCAGATGGTAAATGAAAATTTCCATTTCCATCAGTGATCAAATGTAAACAGTGTGGGAGAAAAAAACATGGTGCAAAAAAATGCATTGATATTATTGCTATGTCTGGATTTGTCAAAAGTCCTGCAAGCATCTTGCCTGTGTTAAGACAAATTTTTCATGATTGATCAATTCAGCAATCTTGTGGAGTGTCGTCATAGTTATGGTGGCAGCTTTTTTATAAGCATGAGAAACTCCTGTTAGTCCTTGACAGCTTGATGGCCAGCTTTGTGCCACATTGTCCAGTTTAGTGCTATAATAGGCAATCGCCTGTTTTCGACGACAGTGACAGCGTTCCTGTATTAGCACTGCCGAAACATACATATCTTGTCTATTGGCAACATAAAAATAGAAAGGCTTGTCATAGTCTGGCATCGTCAGCTTTCGTGCTCTCTGAATTTCCTGTTTTAATGTCGCAAATGCTATATTTGCCTCTGCTGTCCATTTTAGCAATGACTTCAGTGATTGATTACCTGAGTCCTTCATGAGTTCTTTGAGTGGTGTCATGTTGGGTTCAAGGCATCTAACCCACATGCAGAAAACACTCTTAAACAGGGAAAAAGTTTAAATGATTTATTTGCAATGTATACAAGTTAAATGGAGCTCAGGTTCTGGGTTCTTCTGACTGGTCACGGGAAGGAAGCCACTGAGGAGGACAGAGCAGTTAGAGTTGATCCAGGAAATTTGCAGTTTGCAGATGATGGGAATGAATACCTGCTCAGAGAGGATTCTGATCAGCAGGGGGGGAACCTTGTGAGTCCAGAGGCTAGTCGGCAGGCAGAGGGCTGAGGGCAGAGGCAGAGACTGAGACTGAGTGCAGGCAGGCAGATTCCAGGCAGAGATTTCTATCTCCAGGATTTCAGGTTTCCAGAAATGTCAGGATCTGTGAGGCAGAGAGAAACAGGTTCAGACAGGTTCACAAAATCAGGGTTCTGATCAGGCAGGCTGGCTCAGGTTTACTCTACCATTACTGGCAAACACTCTGGCAGGGAAGTGTCAGCCTCCTCCTCCTTAAATAGGTCCTCTGATGAGGAGACAGGAAACAGGTGAGCTCATGCCCTCAGGAGTAAGATCTCAGGCGCCCTCTGGTGGAGAAAGTGGACAAGCCTCCAGATCCCAACAAGTGGTGCTGTTTTCTCTGCTGTCTGTAAAGAAACATGTCATTCCCAGGAACATCATCATCTCACCGACCGTGAATGGGGCTTTACTCACACCTTCTAGCCGAGAAAATGCCTTGTGAAATCTGTCTAGCCAAATATTCCATATGGTTAACAGGATTGTAGTTTTGTTCTAGAAACTTTGTGTCTTTCTTCAGCCAACCGCTGAAGCACTTTTATAGAATATAGTAGAACTTTATTGATCTCACAATGGAGAAATTAACTTGTGACATTGGTTCTTATAAACAAACAGGAGGTGCACCAAGGAGGAAAAGGTGCATGAAGCATATAGAGTACATCCAGAAATATACAGTGGATAGTGAAAACTAAAGTAGAGATTTAAGGTGACTTATATATACAGTATCTTATGTACAGTAAAGTGGCAGGTAAAGAGTGGTTTCTGGTTTGTTAGATAGATAAATAGTATGTTATTGCAGTGTTATTACACCAGGTCATAATGCAGTGCCATTGTAAAGTCTGATGGCAGCAAGAATGAATGACCTGCGGTAGCGCTTCTTTATTTGGCTTCTGATGGTGCAGAGCTTAAGTGAGTAGATTTGGCAAATCAGCCGGTGTGTCCCGCACAATTTGGTTCATTGATCGCAGGTCATGAACATGGCGATACTTGGATTTATCTGCTTTTAGAACAGGAAAGATTGGAGTATTGCACTGACTCGTTTCTATCAAAACTCCAGCTTTTAGTAGCCCTTAAGGGGTTTTGCTTAGACCTTCCTCTGCCTCTGTTTTTTAAAGGGCATAGTGGATGGATTGGAGTGACATTAAATTTTAGCTCATTCTCAACTGGAATGGCAAATTTTACCAGCCCAACATCTTTGTCATGTTTGGACCACAGATGGTCTGCTACTTTTTTTTTAGCATCTCAGTAAACAATGAGTCATCTTCTGATAGCCTAATTGGTGAATTAGGTTTTCTCTGAGTAGTTACCTGCTGAAGAAATCTTATTCAGTAAAATACAAACCTTTCCTTATGGAAAGTACTGTAATTTATTCTAGCAATTATGATCAAAACAGGTCTCTTTTGTAAATGAGATCTTGGATCTCAATAATAAAGCTCCTATAAATAAAGGTGAAACAAATTAAAAAATAATAATAATATGAAATCAGAGGTGAACAGTTGAGAAAAGAGACATTTGAATTTCTCAAAATTGCATTATAATAGTTCAAAACCAAACTCGGGATTCTAAGATTACAAAGTCAGGAATAATAGCACTCTAATTATAACTGATAATGAAACTTCAAGTATTTTATTGAAAAGGTAACAGACATATTGTCATTTTAAAAGAAAAATTTGAGAAACAGGTCACCAAATTAGGTTCTATAGTCACAATTTACTTTCTAAAACAAAAAAAGTTGAGGTTTTAAAAAAGGAAGAAAAAAAAAGCAAACACACTGAAATTAGAATCTTAGTCTACCCTAACAAAGTGTGGCGTGGGCCAATTTTGACCCTGGGTTTTGTTGGGGTCAATAGAATCTAAGGTGAGAACTGGTGCGATGGGATGTGGCGATGTTAGGGACATCCTTGCAGCCAGGAGGCCCATCCGAACGCAGCTGTCTGTGTCTTTTCCCTGAAGAATTCCTGCCATCAAAGCACCTGCAAAACTGCCAACATAATAAATAATTATATAGAGAAAAAAGATGAAAAGTGGAAGTACTGAACAGCAGGTAGATTGGGTAGATTTCTAGCACCTATCTCCTGCTCCCGACACATTCATTGTCTCCTCTGGGCTTACAGCCAATGCTGGGTAGTGTAGTGCACAAAGCTGCCTCTTCTGCAAATACAAATTCAGAAAATTAAATCCTCAGTGTTGATATATCCTCTTCATCATCAAACTGCATTTTAAAGGTGCATACCCCTTTTTGTTTTCTTGGCTGCAGGTCAACTGAGCCTGCATTGTGGTCGCCACATAGCAGCACACCATAAGGTCCAAGAGTCACCACCAGACAGTGAAGATTCTCCAGAAGAGGGCGTGAGAGAGCCACAGCAACCCTCAGGATCTCATCAAGAGTGCTTGGCAGCACTGAGGTAGGAATAGAGATCAACCACATTATGAGCTACCATCAGATAGTGTGCATTCACAAGAACTCTAGCTGGGAGTTTGTATTTTGCACCATAACAAGTGCAAATAACGAAAAATTAAATGTGGATGAAACAGTAAAAGTTACCTTCAGGCACTGTGTGACCTAGAGTTTTATTCATCATGCACAACTCTGCCATGTTTGGAGAGGAATATGACAAATACTTCCAAGCATCCGAGAGGAATGGCTTACATGCTTTTTCTGTATCTGTTGGTTCATACCAAACTGAGACAAAGAGGATAGCCATTGTTTTATTAGACACTTAAGATTCTGCCCACGTTTACTTACGACCTCTGGGTCATCATCCTTTTATACTCACTATTGAAGTTGTACTTTCCAGCAAGATTACAGACATAGTTGATGGTGGGGGCTGGGAGGTTTCCATCAAGACACACAAGTTTGGCAGATGAAATCTGTTTTTCAAACTGGGAGACCTATCAAAACACATTTACGGGTAGACAGACATATTGTTGGAGAGAGAAATAAAAAGGCAATTTCAGGAAGTCATAAAACAAAAAGGTCCCTAAAGACAAAAAAAAAAAAAAACTGATAGTATATGGAACCTCACATAAAGATGTTTACAGAGTATAAAACAAGGTCATCTTTTTAGGCAGTTTTATAATATAGAAAACCCAAACATAACATAGAAAACCCAAAATGCTCATGTAAGTAAATCTGTTGAGTAGGGGAATAAAATCCCTAATTTAAGATTTAGTTTGTTTTAAAACTAAATCAAAAGACAGAATTACAGGGGTTGTTGGTGTCAATACCATCTGGAATTTATTTTGCACAAAGGACAGCATGTGTTAGTCTGCTGCAACATTTCATAAGCTGGCAGCATAAACAGATGTGTATGTTTAACCATTTCTTTATGTTCATTATATATTTGGTTCTCTTCTATTCTCACTTCTATTCAGATCATCCTATATATTATCTAGATCAGCGGTCCTCAACCACCGGGCCGCGGACTGGTACCGGTCCGTGGGTCAATTGGTACCGGGCCGCACAGAAAAAAAATATATATATATATATATATATATATACATATATATATATATATATATATATATATATATATATATATATATATATATATATATATATATATATATACAACGATCAGAGTCTGAGTGATGTTTTATTTTGAAAAATATAAAAAATTGCGGTATCCTCTCCCAATTACATCAGTCGGTGCATCTGTGCCTCTTGACACAGGTTAATTCAGTTCAACACTCATCCTATCTATAACATCCTATCTTTGTGAAGCAGGATTTTCTGCGGTTACAGCGACCAAAACAAAGCTACGGAGCAGACTGGACATCAGGAGCACACTTCGTCTGTCATTTTCTCCGATTACGCCTAGATAGGACCAGCTTGTTGTTTTATTTTTATGCTGTTTGTATTTGATTTTATAATTTTACTTGATCGTATCAACGTGAAAATATTGTCTGACATATAGCGGTCCGTGGTGTAAAAAAGGTTGGGGACCGCTGATCTAGATGATTAAGGCTCAAGAAGGTGGTGAAGATTTTCATTCAGCCAGGTCATAGTCATTCCAAAAAAGTTGAAAAACAATCTTCTGGACTTTGTTTTCCAAGTTTTAAGACATTTCGCCTCCCATTAAGGAAGCTTTTTCAATTAAAAATGTCAGAATTAGCGTTGAGTTCGAGGATTTGTAGAGAGGACCAAAAACAAGGCCTTGTTTTGGCTTAGAAAACATGCAAATTGAACCGGAAGAACAGGTCCAACCCTTAGGAATAAGGAGCTGGTTGGTTTCTTTGTTAGCCTGCAATACCCGATACTGATCTATGCCTCTGAAAGGGGGATTGTTAGGGGGAATTGAGTTACCGCGTAAAACTTACATACTGTTCTGTAATTTGCTTATGAATGTCCATGTCTCCCAAGCCAAGAGTAAGTTCGCCATTTTGATTGATAACAGCACAGTATGTAGCCGTGTTCTGCTTTTCCAGCCTGGCTACACCGCTCGTGTTCTAAAAAAAAATATTAGAAAAAGATTTTAAAATACAGTTTGAGGTGGCATGAATTTAATTTTAGTTCCAGATTCTGTTAAAGCTCTCTTACCATATGTTTGCAGTAGTTAAAAACTGCGTCACCGTTTGCATCGGCTCCTGTGACTGAGATGAATAGAGGCCTCTTATCTAACCTACTCAGCGAGTCTTGGGGAAAAACATAGAAAAGAATGTGTGAGACACAATCAGACTGATCGAACACGTCTGCACAAACACGATCAGATAAGAAAACACTAACCAGCGATGTTCCTTCCCACACCACCAAATGACTGACACACACTTCCTGGGTTGGTCTGTCCAAACTGAAAGAAAGACAGATTCTCAGATTCTTATTTTCACTCTGTGGGCAGCAGTGTTTCAGATAAATTTGTAATGAAATACTTACATGAAGTGTTTCTGTTTTCCCTTTGGCAATGAAATCTACATTTATTCCTCCTATAATAACCTGGACAAGAAAATTCAATCATTGCATTTGTTTTGGGGATTTTTTAAAAACAAAAATGTGATAAATAAGGATACACTATATATGGTCTTTTTTCATACTCACAACATCTGAGTCTTTCTGGGGTTTTCCAACATCCTGACTTGTACTTTTTGTTCTTTTTTTACTCATCTGCTTTGAGAGCGCACATGCTATCTGACTGCCAACTTTTGCATTGTTATGAATCAGAGCAATGTCTAAACGTGGCATGTTAAGGACGGTTTGGTAATAACCAACAGATTACCAGCATTAGAAGCTAATATTCTATGACTTTATTAAGCTGATATTGAAGCTGCCTCACCTTTTCCATTTAAGTATTTCAGATATTCATTCAGCTTCTATGAGATTCAGATAGTAAGGATACTGGCTTGGAGGGACTTTCCTTGAGTTAACTCACTGACCTTTTGAAGAATAAAGGGTGTAACATCTCTGCCTTTAATACCTTGAACACTGGGGAAACCACAGAGACAACAGAAAGTAATAAGTATTATATAAATTTTATATATACATTTTTTCCACTGACCAGTGATCAGTATATGCAGCCATCAGAGGTGGAAAAAGTACTAAAATATCATACTCAAGTAAAAGTACCAATACTTGGATGAAATATTACTCAACAAGTAAAGTTACCCATCAGAAAAATTACTCAAGTAAAAGTAATAAGTAGCTAATTTAAAATGTATTTTAAGTAAAAGTTACTTAGTTACATTAAAAAAAAAACAACAACTGTTGAATGGGGCAGGGGATCTCTCCCATGTAGTG